TAGACGAAAGATAAAACATGTAAGAAGGTAAGGTAAATTGTCAGTTTTCATCAGTAGTAGGCTAAAACAACTATCTTTATTCATCCCCTTGATTGTTGACCTAAATTATTCAAATTCCACAAATATGTTTTGTCTCCACTGAGAGCTTTATTAGCTAAGCAGTTCAAACAAAAAAAAAATGTCTCATGTAACCCATTTCATAACCATAGGACTGGCCGGTTAGTCAATAAATATCAGTATCTACTGAGTAAAAAGTGTTAAAAGTGCACTCTGATTGGCTACTCAAACTCCGAATATCCTTTGCAATTCATCTTCGAGCGACTCGTTCGGGATTTGCATCCGAAAATATTGTAATCGTTTTTACTTCAGTGTCGGTGAAAAAGGGTGGTTATCACCTCCACTTCGGAGCATAATCGTTCATTATCATAGGTAGAACATCTCATTGAGTCTAACTTGACTTCATTTGGTATTATTTTTCATACGCTGTCGTGGGTTCGCAAAAGACGCACTTTCACAAAGAAGTGAACGATGAGGAAGGGTGCGCTTGCTGCCCGCTCACCTCCTTTATATTTCAAATTAGAGAGGTCACAGAGGACGAATTGGTTCGAAAGAATGCCCACATAACTCACAAACAACTTTTATCTGCAGAAATGAAATCAGCGTCATTTCGAAGAGGACAGCCATTCAGTCAAGTATTGATGCCTTGTTATACAGTACAACGCCACTGGCCACTCTGGTGTCAGTAATTATTATGGTGCTTACAGGCCAGACCCTCACGCCCGCCAATGTTTTCATGCTGCTGTCGTTTATGGGTGTTATAAAATTTAGTGGTATGTTGAATATGACATCAGGTTTAATGGTAACGTATGACGCCTACGTTTCGCTCGGAAGAATCGAAGAATTCCTTCTTCTGGAAAATCTGTTGCAAGCCTCGGAGAGTGATTTAAGCAACGAGCCTCAACAAAAAGCGAAAAGTACCGCAACTTACCTAAGTCGCAGTTACTTGAAAAAAGAAGAGGAAAATACGGAGAAAGTTTCCCTCTCTCGTGAATCAAGAGAATTAGGGCCTACTATATTAAGTGTGTCAAATTTAAGCTACGCAAAAACGCATCATGAAGAGGAATTTATTCTTGAGGATATCAACTTCTTTGCACCTTCAAAGAGTTTAACAGTCATCACCGGACCGGTTGGAAGTGGTAAGTCTACTCTGCTCTCAGCGATCGCTGGTGAAATTTGGAACACCAGTGGGACGATTGATTATCAAGGTTCTCTCATTTACTTGCCTCAGACTGCTTGGGTGTTCTCGGGAACGATAAAAGAAAACATTCTGTTTGGTCAACCCTACAAGGAGTCCAAGTACGAAAGAATAATCGACGTCTGTGCTCTGAAAGAAGACTTTCAGCGGTTACCTGATG